AGGTAGTCATTTTATCTCTGTCACCTTTACCTGGATGGGTAGAGACCAAAAGCCATTATTATTTGATGGCTGTATTTGTGGCCTAAGTGAAACAACTTGGATAATCCACAGTGCAAAAAAAAAAGAAAAAAGTTGTTATAATAATACTTTGCACTTACATAGCATTTTTCCTTGGTAGAGCTCAAAGCACTTTACACACATGGTGGGTAAGTCATACTCCAGTTATAGATGTGGTATCTGTCGTGTAAACAAATTAGTGACTTGCCCAAGATGTCACAGTGAGTTGGTGTTAAAGTTGAGAGTTGAACAATGGTCTGCTAACTAGAGCTGGTCAAGCAGCATGCACTGGACAATTCTGATTTGTCAAAATGGACACATACCAGTTTTAACAAAACTTTTGGAGGAAAATATTTTTCAGGTCAAGGATGTAATTTCTGGTCAAAACCAGTAAGTGGGAGGAGGGGATGGGAGAGAGAGAGAGACTCACCCCAGAGTAACCAATAGCTAAAGTACCCATGTAGGATGTGGAAGATCCAGGTCTGAATCAGGTAGCGTAGGGACTCAAACCTGGGTCTCCTGCATCCTAGATAAGTGCCCTAAATACTGGTCTATGGGTTAATCTGGGGTGGTGTTGCTCTCTGTTTTTTTCATTGAAAATCTTTGAATGCTCTCAGTTTTGTCCCAGTGCAGAATGGGAAAAAATTGAAATCTGAAATTTTCATAAAACAGGGAAAACCATTTCCTGCCCATCTCAGCACCTTACCACCCGCCCCATGTCTGATTTACTAGATGCTGAGTCCCCTGACAATCTCAGCAAATAGGACAAGCGTTGTATCTGTTATGGCGGATGAACTACTTGAATCGTAGAGCTCTGGTGGTCCCCAGTTTACCACTGAGGCACATTGGCATGGAACTGAAAGAGAAGCATGCGCTGTTTCTGCCTGTGTTGTATCTATCCGGTAGTTAAATAAAGGCCTTCAGATTCCAGAGGTGCTATTTCAGCACCTTTCACCAGCACCAAATTATGTTTAAATAACAAAATGGTTTAAACATTCAAATACTGTAACTACATATAGTCAATATTCCCCTACTTATTGGATTACTGCAAGACAGCCAAATTCCCTGTGGTAGTTCTGGAGCACAAGGCCACTTACTCATAAATGAATGTACAGGATTGCTACACTGTAGGTACATTGTGTCAGAGGGTAGCATTATCCACATTTGGGGATGTCAGATACTTAAAACTAAACTGAACAGTTCTGGCCCTTGAAATGCCAACAAGACTGATCTCTTAGCTGATAGGGTCCAGCTTCAATCATTATATATTTTACTTGTAAACTATCCTGGGTTTGTATGTGATTTGGAGGAAAAAATAATTTCTTTATTTATAAAGAACCATGAAACAGAAACTCTAAAAGTGCAGTGTATAGTGCAAAGAGGTTGACAGAGTTGATTACAGAGGGTTTAACTGTTGATGGTATGAAGATTTTTCTCCAGTTGATATTTCTCAGCAATTTAGTTGTGAAAAATTGTTGTTTTGTGCTTAAAAAATTATACGGTTGATAATTAGGACAGTAGTGCTGCAGAATTTTTAGGCCTTTCATGTTCCCTTTCCAGGCTTGAAATGGACTTTAACAATGTATTAGATTACTATAGATGGGGCTGGTACCTCTGCCTACTATTAAGGTTGCCCAATAGTGCCCATTATAAGACCCTGTTTTCAGTTGCTTATAATTTTGCTAAACTTTAACCATTTGGGCTGATATTTTCCATGCCAGGTATGTATCTCAGGATGTCTTTTTTCTTTTTCTTTTCTTTTCTTTTTTGGGTGGGGGGGTATGGGGGGGATGGGGGTAAAACTTCAGCCAAAACAGTTCATTGTTTCCAAGATTGGTGCTAGGGGGACACACGTTGTTTTGTCCATGTTAAAAATTTTAATGGCTTTAAAAGAAAAAGTTCTAGCACCCCCTTGCTCTGGCACAGGGACTTGAACTATGGCGGGGGGGGGTGGCCTTTGTATCAGGGGTGTGTCTTTTGTTATCCCCATGAAAATCTGCCCAAATTTGTCAAGTTAAAAGCCTTTGAAAAATTGTGGTGTGCACTTGCGTAGTTGAGACTTTGATTTTTAGCAGCTCTGGGTATGTCTACACAGCAAAACAAAGATCTGGGGTAGTGAGTCTCAGAGCCCAGGTCAACTGACTTGGGCTCTCAGGGCTTGCATCCTAGGACTAAAAATAGCAGTGTAGAAATTCAGGTTTGGGCTGGAGCCTGGGCTCAGAAACCCAGCAAGGTGGAAAGGGTCTCAGAGCCCAGGCACCAGCCCAAGCCCAAATGTCTACACTACTATTTTTATCTCCATAAACTCGGGTTAGTTGGCTCAGGCTCTGAGACTCACTCTTTCAGGGTTGTTTGTTGTTGTTGTTTTTGGATGATTTATTTGTTGCATAGAGCGGAGGTACCCTGAGGCCTCTGAAGGTTCCATTGTCTCTGAACATGTTCAAGTTTCTCACAGCTCCTAGTGCTGACCAGAGAGCATGTGTACCATCCCCACAGAGTGACTGAGCATGCTCCCTCCAGCCCAGAGATACAAGTGTGAAGCTGGACTTTCCATGTAATGGTTTCTGCTGGCTGCCAAGGTCAGGGTGAGGCTGGACACCAGAGCTGACAGCAGGGAGTGTCTCTCTCCTGTGCTCTCAGTGACCCCCACTACTGGCACCGAGGCAGTGTAATGGAGGAAGCTGTCTCATTCAAATGCAGAAGGGACAAAGGCTGGACCAGGGGGAAGGGAGAGGATTAGACTGGGACAAATTGCCTAATGAGGCTGGGAGGAGCCAGAGTGCGAGAGGGAGGCTGGGATTGGGATCCATTAGGGAAATGGGGACTGGCTGGCAAGAAGCCAGAGACTGGGAACCAGTGGGAGTGTGTCTGTGTGTGGGGAAGATACATATCTGACAAGGAGCTGGGGTACAGGGGAGAGGACCGACACTGGCTGGGCAAAGAGACTGAGACAAGGAGGGAGGTCTGAAGGCGTTTGCTGTGCATAGAAGTGTCCATGAAACAATTCCTCTTATGCAAGTTGCCCCAGCAGCAGCTCTAGTAACTGTCAGGTCAGTCCTGGTCAGGGAGAATATGTCATGATGTCACAAAGCGAGTGAGGCTTCATTAAGACTTTGCTTAAAACAGGAACATTTTAACAGATGCCCGGCCAATGCATGGCGACTTGTATATTGTTTGTAACTTTATTCAACCAGTGGCCATCCAGTTGTGAAGATCTGCCGTTATTTTCTGTTATCTGCATATGTGTAAAAATAACACAAGATTTTTTTTTCAGAATAGGAGAAATGGGAGGTGTCTTTTGAGGAGCTGGGTGGTTTCCTTGGTTTGCAGTCTCACAGAACTAGAAAAATAGTTTACTCTATTCTCTGTTCTATTCAATATAATTTTTATATCACACTCGTCACTGTAGTATCTGAGCATCTTCCAAGAGCACATCAAGCCATGTTGCACATCTGTCACGTTATTTGTTCTCTCATCCTCTCTCCAGCTAGAGGAGCCTGTGCAGAGGAGTGTCCTGTTTTGGTAGGGTGTCTTTTTTTTAATTATTATCATTTTTAATATAAACATACCTGTTGCTATGTGTGTGCTATGTTTATGCTCAAACAGCCATTTTGGATGGAGATCAAACACAGAGACATTCAGCCCCCCCAGTTTTGAATGTTTTTGACACCTATGAGCAAGTGGACATGGTGGTTAGATTGGAACTGTTTGCCAACCTTGGCTATAGCAGTCATATAGGAGCTGTAATACAGGGAAACGACCCCCCACCCTCTCCTTAAGTAAACAATTTGAAGTAACCCAATACATTCTATTTGACCTTGTAAGCCCCCTCTCTATTAGACAACTAACATTCCTTGGTCCCTTTATGTGGTTACTTTACCACGAACGGAAGCACAGGCAGTATCCTCGGGACGCAAATCCCTGTTTTTCACTTTGAAAATCATTTTTTTTCAGCTGTAGGGCATCCCAGATTTCACTGCAGAACATCTTGAGACTATTCCAAAAGAGCAACTATAGCAAACTAACTGCTACACGCTGTCAGGGAATGGCAAGCTCTTGGAGGTTAGTGAAACAACAACAATTTATAACTCTAACAACATTTAATCATGGATCTCATTTTTTCCTGTACAAGGAGCAGCCCGCTGTTCTAATTTATCCCCTTCCCAGCCTCCCTGGTTCCACTCCACACTGGTAAATATACACAGAAATCGTCATGGTAGCTCAAAGACTATTGGGCTAATGAAAAGGAGTACTTGTGGCACCTTAGAGACTAACCCATTTATTTGAGCATAAGCTTTCGTGAGCTACAGCTCACTTCATCGGATGCTCACAAAAGCTTATGCTCAAATAAGTGGGTTAGTCTCTAAGGTGCCACAAGTCCTCCTTTTCTTTTTGCGAATACAGACTAACACGGCTGCTACTCTGAAACTTGGGCTAATGAGTCTGACACAAACTTTTGTAGAGCAAAGAACTTGCAATAATAGCCATCAGCTTGCTGTTGCCCTGTCTCTTTGGTTCTTTGTCCTTAATCCCCACATCCACCACAGGAATCTCTCTCTTTGTAGTGTAGATGGATCAGTCATTGGGCTGCTAATCTAGATTGGCCCAACCCTGCAAGGTGCTGGATATCTCCTGCTATATGCTGAGTAATCTGATCTGCTAGTAAAATCAATGGGAGCTGACGTTGGCACGTCACTTCTTAAACACCACTGGCTTTATTCTGTGTCCTCAGGTTGTTCAGCCACTTAGCTGGTTTGAAACAGAGCACTGGAACAAAATATGTTCTAAGTGATTTTTAACTAAAAGCTAATGTGAAAATGTTGGAGCTTGAACCAATGTAAACATATTAAATGTAAGACCATTTTCAAATGTAGTAAAGAAAAAAATCACACAGTGTTCCTTCTCCTGAAATTCCTAAAGGATACATTTCTCCTTCTGAGTCATGATTTCATAAGATTATATTTTATTAAACATTCTTTACAAATTTTAAAATATTGCTATTTTACATGCACAGAGGAAAATCAGTTGAACAGTTGTTCATAGGCATCCATTTAAAATCAACCACAAAAGAGGAACACTTTATTATGATGTCAGTTATTAATGTACTTGATATGTATATCTAAAGTGCATTATGTTACAATATATATATATGTATAGAAAGTCAGCAGCACCAAGATACTTTCACAAAATAAATACACCATTCAACAAAATAAATTATGGTAAATGTGACAATAATAATTGGCTTAGCCTTAGCAAAAAAAAAAAAAAAAAAAAAAAGGGAAAAAAAATTCACAATAGCCAAATGTGCAGTTTCAGAGAGCAATGGGGAGGAGGAGGTTTTATTTCGATGCATTTACAATATTTACAGATAATAAATATTTCTAATACTTTCCATATGTTCACTATTACAGAATACTGCAATACGTTTTCCAAAGATCTCAACTGAAAATTCAACGCCTCCTGCAAAGAAAGAGGGGGGTGGGGGACACAAAAGGGGAAAAAAATTAAATTTCCCTGAAAATAAATGGACACAAGATTAATGTAACAGTTCCACAAGTAATATAGGGTGTGCCTTGCTATTAAATAGCCCCTCTAGGAAGAGCTGATTAATAACACTGAGCTATTAGGAGTCTTCTTTTAAGTCTCTACAGTTCTTTTAATGCAATGAAAATAGCGATGCAAGGGATGGCACACTGCTTTCACACAGCTGAGTCTGTATCATCTGCAGCCCTCTACTCACAGAAGTAGGAAGAGGGTTCTGCTTCATTTAGGCCCTGATTCAGCAAGGTACTTAAGCACATGCATAAATACCACTCAAGGCTACTTATGAGCTGAAAGTTAGGCATAGTTTTAAGTAGCTTGCTGAATTGGGGCCATAAAGCTCAGTTCAGAGAACAGATTTAAAAAACCCATATAAAACCAGCTGGAAAAATGAGCATTAAGGGCAAGGCTGAAAAGAACAATCAAGCCCATCTAGTAGCTAATGTGCCCATTATATTGCTTGAGCTTTGTTTCCTGTGCTGCCTTTGTGATACCATGTTTACTGCTGTCAGATACGTTCTACTGTTGTCATTTGGTCTGTCTTTACCGCTGATGGTGGACTATAAGCAACCATTGGATAAGGAATTATTTAATTGTGAAGTATGTATTTATAGAACATGAATTTTACTGTAGAACAATGTGTTCAGGTCCTGATTCTGAAGAGACACTAGCTCCATTCACAGCACAAATTAATTAAATGGTTGTTGAATTAAAGCTTTGGGAAAACTGAAATTGCATCTTTGTGAGTCCAGGAGGAGTCTAAAGGCCTGCCCCCTGAAAATATTGAGCATTTCCTGTGAGTCTCTGAGCACCTTCAGCTTGTACCAAATTCAGTGGGAATTGGAGGCATTCAGCACCTTGCAGGATCAAGCCTTAAGGTTGGGAATTGCTCTTCTGAACTTAATAGGTGCCACTGACAGACTGGTTTTAATTCTGTAATCCTCCCCGTCCACCATGAATTCAAGAGGCTATAAGCAGTATCCCCTGCCATTCTGTATCTTATTTATATTTTGTTTTGTATTTTCCAATATTGATATTTTTCTGACAGTGAAACTACTGGGTTTTTCCTCTCTCACTGTGTGCAGTCCATTTCTGTAATTGTATGTTGGTTCCCTAGGAAACAACTATAGGATGGAATTTGATTGGCTGTGTTGTCAGACTGATTGCCAAAGTTGTGGGTAGAGTTTCACATGGCAGACTTGTGTGGGTGTGAGACACAAAAAAAAAGAGGAAATTCTTGACAATTTAAGGGGGTTTTATGTGCTTAATGAAAGCAAGACTACACCTAATTTTAGGGAGGTTACACTTTTGAAAGGTTTCTTAGGAAATTAAGTACCAATAATTTAATTTAATTGGAATGGGAATATAGTTCAAATAAATTGGTTAGTCTCTAAGGTGCCACAAGTACTCCTTTTCTTTTTGCAGATACAGGCTAACATGGCTGCTACTCTGAAACCTACTATAGATGTGTACTTTTAAAATGGATTATGCTTTGGTTCTGGATTTAGCTTTTAGCCTTGAATTTAGAGTTCAAGGTGAACCATGATTTAGGTTTGGGTTTCATGGTACCAAAATCTTACAACTGCTCTCTGTGGTTTCTAAGCTCAAATGTCATAAATATTGCAAAATCAACTAATTTTGCAAGACCTTTCTCATATTGGGCCACGTTCCTACCGGAACTAGAAAGCAGGTCTCTTCCAGTTTTTGTTTGGACTTGGACTCAAAATTGTGGGGTCAGGACTGCTAGGGAGAATTCGCGAGTTCAGCCAAACTGCAGTCATGCCTTCTGTCCCCACCAGCAGGGAGAGTTGTGGTATATGAGCCCTCGAATCAGCTCTGTGTAACTGGAGGATTACACATATACAGGGATGATTGTCCCTGAGCCAGCTAAACTGAGTTTACAGATGTGTTATGTCGTCACTGCAGTGCAAAGTGACTCTGGTGCCCTGGAGGCTCTGGCACTCCTATCTAAAATCTGTAGGGAGAGGCAGGGGTTGGATTTGAGATGCCAATTCAGACACAAGGCTTGCATATGTTTGTAAAGAATGACTTGTGTTATTAAGTAAAAATGATGATGAATTATGTCATTTCCTGAATTAAAAATAATTAAACAAAAGGTTTCAGATTTCAAGTTGACAGCTGTTTTGATTTAAGGTGTAGAAATGATAGCATCTGCCAGCTCACTTGGATAATTACAGATAAAGAGCATGTACTCAATTCTCAGAAACCAGAACTGCTGTGGGCTTTGTAAGGGAGGAATTGCAAACTCCTGTTTTATAACTTTCTTTTTTTAAAAAAAAAGTTAGCTTTTATAATTAAGTATTGCAAGTATACAATCCCTTCAAGACTCTATTCCCCTACTGGACTAACATTGCAAGAAGGGTAATAATGCCAAGAGGCTAAGGCCAAAACTGTAATGTACTGTAAAGTTGAGCTTCCTTTAGGCATATGAGGACATTCGGAATTTAAAACTTAAACCGATCAAATCTATAGAATAGTCTTTTGTATTTCATTTACAGATCCCATCAGAGATAAGAGTAGTATTAAAATAAAATCCAACAATCAAATGCTTTGGGAGTTTTAGCCCCATTACTTTAGTTTCTGTATAAGTGCACATTTGAAGATAGGCTTTGTTTTTCAGATATCCTAGCTCTATAACATTTATTGCAACTTCTGTATGTATCAAACATCTGATTACATATGCCCTGGAACAGGCCTTTAAAGGTATTTCTGTACTGCAGCAGGAAGGGGCGATTCCCAGTATGGGCAGGTAGACTCAGGCTAGCTCAGCTTGAGCTAGTATGCTAAAAATAGTACTGTGGACTTGGCAGCACTGGCAGAGACTCAGACTAGCTACCCAAGCTTGGATAGGGGTTTCGGCAGGCTTTGTCTCCAGCAGCTAGCCTTAGCGGCTGCTACTGCTATTTTTAGCACGCTAGCTCAAACAGAGCTAGCGCAAGTCTGTCTGCCCTCCCTGGGAATCACACCTCTTATCTGCAGCGTAGCCATACTCTCCGTAACAATCAAAAGCAGCGCCAGTTACACCACTTCTTCTTATTAAAGTTCTGTTAACTACTGACTTGTCATTAAGTCTAAGGCCCAATCCCAAATTTCTTACTCTGGCCTAGATAAGGCTTGGTGCTGAATGCCAGGAACTCCCCTGACCTCGATTGGCAGTTGAGGACATGAGGCACCTATCAGGACTGGTCCCATAAAGATTGAATTAAGGTGCAGCATTTTAATAAAACCCATGGTTCATGGCATCTCTCTTCAAATAATTTACTGTGAAGCAAATTGCACTTTTGTGTCCATTGAGCCAAAAGTGAAGGGGAAGAGGTGAAGGGAGAAGAGTGTTATGTGTTTTCTTTTTAAATTCTTTTTGGAATTGAATGTTTCTGTTTGCCTTCTGTACACAAAGCTGTTCAAGCTCAAATCCAGACATGAGATGTGTGCAAGCGGGCTAGCGGCTCAGGACACTTAGTCGAGAGACTCCAACTCACCATTGCCCTTAAAAACCTTCATTGTCATACATGAGGAAAACATGTCTCTCTCCAAGGGTAATGCTCAACATTTTTCAGCAGCAACGTAATTGTTTCACAAGCTGGCAGAAAGATGGAGCTGAATTAAAAAGTCCTAATGGCAGGGAAAATTTTATGGCAAAAGGCTGGTCTGCACTGTTTGCAGATATTACTAAAAGAGAAACTTTCCGTGTTCTCCCCTAAGGTTAAACAGTAAAATGAAAAACTGTAAAGTAAGGGTAGGAAAGCTGCCAAGGATCAAGGGGAAAAAAAGAAAACCTCTCCATTTTATAGATGCAGAGCTTTAAGCAGAGTTCAAAGCTTCAGTCTGCTGAGGACCAAATGTGAGACAAAGATCTGAAACACGGATACCAAAGTAAAAGCAGCGCAGGAAATTGTAATAGATGTGAGGGTCATTTCTTTGGCGTAAATAACACTTTCTGTAACCTCAGTTTCACAAATCTCTGTGATAAGTAATTTACCATAATTATTCCTGACAGAGTTGTCCAGAGTCTAGAGCAGGGTATTGGGAGTCATGAGACCCGAGTTCGAGTCCCTGCCCTGCTGGTGAATCACTGTGTGGGTCATGGGCAAGTTGCTTAACTTCTGTACCTCCGTTTCCCCAGCTGTAAAATGGGAATAACACTTACCTTTGTAAAGTGCTTTGTGGTTGCACAACATTTTGAAATGTCCTAAAAATTTTTATTATTATTATTATAATAATAAAATTCCAGATTTGTGTGAGGCAGAGGTAAAATCTAACAATTCCAATAAATAAACAAAATAAATGGTGTGTCTCCTTGATAAGGATAAAGCATGATTACCTTAAATTGTGATCATGTGTAGTACCAGAGATGTCCAAGAGGGGGACCCCTTCATTTCCATTCTCAGATTCTCTAGAATTTGGCCATGCTGAGCGGGTTCGCCTCTTTTTCTTTTCTTGTTCCTTGCGTTTTCCAGGCTTTGGTTTCTTCTTCTTTCCCGATGTCTTCAGGGGCTGCTCTTTGTATGTCTGAGCTTTGTTTGTCTCCTGAGTTAGGTATTTACCCTCATCTTCACTGCCACATCGGACAGGGTAGTTCTTTGTGTTAGTCGGAGGCTTAGGGTTTGGAGAAACTTCTGAAGTAGTCCGGATCTCTGCTGTGTTAACACCTTCAATGAGATTTTGAAGGAAGATCCTCCTTCGTAGATCTTGGATAGACTTCCCTTTGTCATGCAGTAGCTGATGCTCTGATACAGCTCTTTTGCTAAAAGAAAAAGAGAGCAGGGAGAAAAAGATATTTTATAATTTCATTATCAGCCAAAACTTGGCAAAACTCATCTCTCCTCTGGCAGCTGTCGCTACAGTGAGCAGTGAACCAACTTTCCAGCTCTTAGTGTACCCTGCAAACTCAGTGGTGGAGCAATTTCTTGTCAGAATAGCTGTTCTCTGCAGAGAGGGAAAGAACCTAAGCCAGTAATAATTCTCTGTGGACCCATCACACACCACTGGACTTGTGGGTGGATTAGTCAATGCTCTGTTCTGGGAAAGCATTTCTTAATGGTACAAGGCATTCTATCTAGGCACTAAGACAAGAAAGGCAGTTGCCAAAGTTAGGGAAAGAAGGGAACCAGATAATGGAGCACTGCAGTCACATAAGAAAGGGAATATTAAACACCTGCAGGGAAACCTGAACCTCTTTTTATGCAACATCATTTTAGTAACTTTCTTCTGCCCCATCATATACTTTAAAAAAAAATATGCACCTTACTTTTAAGTTTCAATTAGTGTAACTGCTAGTATTTTTTTATGCCAAAATTTTCAAACTTGAGTGCCTAAAATGTGAGCAACCTACAACCATATTTAGACACCGAAACAAGCAGCTTGACATTCAGAAATTGTGAGCACCTAGCAGCTCCCATTGACTTCAGCCAATATTAAATCTGGATTTAAGTGGATTTAGGAACCCGAGTTTGAAAATTTTGACCTGAATTTCTGGTGTTCTCTATTTTCTCTTGTGCACTGTGCCAGTCCATTTCTGTGGTTCCCCTCACCCTTTTCTCTGCATCTCTGTTCCTTATGATTCTTCCTTGACATTCTTCCAAAGTTCCTATATTTGTCCCTTTTATTGCTCATTGCAACTCTGACATTTTGGTTCATTGGAACTCTTAAACTGTATCTGTTTTTGAGGAGTTGGAAGATGATTTAACTGGAAGCCTTGCCAATGGTTCATACTTGGCTAACAAGGTATGGTCATCAGAAACCTTTGAGAAAGGATGGTCCAAGATCTGTCTGGCCAATGAATAATCATGAGAAAATACACATTTTTTCCTTAATGCAGGGTGGATGCACACCTGCACTGTGAACCATGAAAGCATATGAGGTGGGATTATAGTTATGTTCCCACGACTGCTAAAACCTATAGTCCTTCGAGCTTGCTTTATCTCAGTGTGCTGAGACAGGCTATGCATCCTCTTTTATTGTATCAGGGTGCTACCCGTGATTGGACTCATGCTAACCAAAGAAAATGAATTAATTGCCTTGCCTGTTGCACAGTAATTTTGTCTGTAGCTAATGCAGTTTCTGATTATGGATGAGCAGGGAGAAGACCGATAACTGTCTGAGAGACTATTCACCCCAACTATCCTACTATACTGTGGAGTTTCAAAATGTGGTGTGGTATAACTATACACCAAATGCTTGAGCGAGGTCTGTAATTTGTTACCCTCAGTCCCTTCTGAGCTGGCTGCCATATGTTGTGGACTTCCAACGTAGTCAATGCTAGAGCTCTTTGGAAGTTAGCAGCTTCATGTAGCATAAGTTTATGAGAGCATCTCCTTTGCTTTTTATCCATATAGATCTGCACACACGGAGTTTTTGGTTCAAATGATCCCAAGTCTCAAAGTGAAATTCAGATCAAAATTCCAACTTGTCCCTAGCTCCACAATAACACTATGAATTGATCATGATTTTGCTGCAAAGCTATATATTGGGTATATTTGCTCAACACTGCGCGTAGATTTGCTCAAAAGAGTTGAGTAAATCTTTTGCTAAATGTTCTCTGAGTTTCAAGAAACCTGTAGGCAGGTGAATGTCAGGGAATTTGTGATTTTTGTGGATCATGCTCTTCTATTGAACACCTCTAAGCAAAAATAACATGGCCTGATACTGAGCTGGTGTAAAGGGGCACAGCTTAATTCACTTCTATGGAGCTGCAATCATTTACACTGGCTCAGGATCTGGCCTATCCGAAAAGATATGTAATCATCCATTCTGCCAAACTCTTCCTGATGCTACTCCAATCCCTCTAATGGCCTATATCACACAGTCACTCTGATGCTCTGTCTTGTACACCTTACTTCATAGCAATAACCAGCAAAGGTTGGCTATTAACTACCTCCTTGCTTAGCTCAACCTGACTTGCAAATGTCAAATGTTAAAACCAGCACCTTGCACTCATCTGACTGTGGCAAACTTCTGTCATGTTTCTCAATCTGTCCACTGTGACTCACATTACTTTCCTAACTAAAGAACTATATTTTCCCAGGATGCTTTCATGGGAAATGTAGTTATCATTCCACTCTCCTAGTTTATAAAAAACATACAAAATCTTAGTGCTTTACTGAGTTTAAAATAGTATGCCTCATGTGAAAAGCTTTCCTACTGTCTCTTATAAACTACCAGGGATAATTGCTTTTATCACAGAGAACACAAAGCTGCCTTAATCCTCTACTGTATATTTAGTCAATTTACTCACTGTTACAAAATCTTGAATCTTAAAATCTTGTTATTAAGGACTCTTGATTGAAAAGCAATTCCATTTTACATAGATAGTCTAAACCTAGAGTACACACAATACAATCAAACATCATTACAAGACCCACTTCTTATATTAGTGTAGATTTCCATTACAATCCATGAATTGACATGAGAATGGATGCAGTGCCCGGAAGGGGCAGGTTTCAGTTTAAATGTCTGTCTGATATTTAGCATGCAAACCTGGCCCCAAACAACATTCTGCTGTTCCACGTGACTGTATAATATTACATAGAGTTATATTTCACATGACTTTTATTACCCAGCCAGACTTGAAGATTACATTTTGTCTCCCAGTTTCCTTTGGGAAATTTATGTTTCACAATATACAAAGTGAAAAATATGTGGCAAATATAAATCTCCTCCCCCCATTACTAACCCCAAGCTAGCCACTCAAGTAACTCCTTTGTTTGTAAACCCAAGGAAAACAACTTGCTGAAGAAGGTTCATGTAGGGAAGTCCTTTAGAGAAGTGTCCCATAACACAGGTATCAACAATGTGATGAAAAGTCCCCATCTTTCCCCTCCCCTCTCCTCCTCATTCACAGTAAGGAAAGTGGCGGACTCTTGAATATGTGTATTCAGTTACTGGGATTAGTTAAATATGACAAATAATATATTTACAAGAAAAACGTTGTAGTATTAGCAAACAACACAGTTAGGAAATATTAGGATGTTAGGGTTAGGATGACCCACTAGAGGTCCCTTCCATCCTTCTATGAAATATGCTTCTCACTGAAAGGAAAACAGTCTGACCCCAAACCAAATGCAGTAAATGTTAAGCTAACATGTGGGTAAGCACTTCTGAGAGAAAGATGTAGATCATGGTTTCTGTTTGCCCAAAGTGCCCAGACAAATTATTGTATACAAGAATGTTCTATATACACGTGTAGCTAACTAGTCTTATGTCTCATTATGGAAAAAAAGTACTTAGGCTGAAATACTATGAATCCAGGACTTGTGAACATTCTGATTTCTAAAATGCTACTTTTGGGTGACTATTCCCGGCCCCCTCCCCCCAGTTCATTCTTCTTAGAAAGTTTTGTTCACTTTTTTTAAACTTGTGTCAGTAGCAAAAAGTTAACTTTCTGTCTCAGTTTTTTTAAATTAAATAATTAATTATTGAATCATTATCGTACTTTGTTCATTTGCAGCCTGATCCAAAGCTCATCTAAATCAGTGGAAAGATTTCAATTGGCTCTGGATCTAGCCCTTAGGGAGGTATCCTGCAAAGGGCTGAGTGCCTTCCGCTCTCGTTAACTCCACTGGGCGTTGAGGGTGCTCAGCCCGTCTCACAAGTGGGTGCACAGTTTATGCTAAAGGAAAAATATTTGAAACAAACTTGGAGATGTGGTGATGCAATGTCTAGGCATGCTGATAAAAATATCTAATTTCTCTTTGAGTCATTGCTTGTTTTCCAGAAACTTCTTTAACAGCTAAAACATTTAATGGGCCCTGCAATCTGTACTCAGGAAAACTTCCCATTGGTTTCAATGGGAGGTTTGCCTGCATAAGGACTGCAGAATGGGGCCTATGATTTAGTTCTGTTTGGCTATAATAATGTGTCTAATTTAATCTACTACTGATTTAAGCCTTCCCTGGAAAACTACGTCTATACTTGAGGCGAGTTATTAACCATTAGCTCTAGGAATGGTTTGTGGTGATATTAAAACAGGGTGTATGTTTGCATGTGGTGTTAGTGTTTGTGCTGTACCCACAAACAAAACTACATGAATGCCACTGACTGACAGCTAAATGGTTTCTTCAGTGCGTTTTACATGCTATACAAAAAGGGAATCAAGAAAAGCTTTTTGACAATTTAGCACCTATTTTGTCATCCCATGATTTGGAGGGTGGAGGAAAACAGGAGGGGATGTATTTAATCTTGACATATATAAGTACTGGACTTAAAAAGATAACAGGTATGTCTTATCAAATCTTAATTTAAGCAAAAGTTGGCTCAGTTCCAATGCAAAGATTCTTAGCCAAGGAAATAGAGTATTTAATTGTGCTTTATTTTTTATGTACCTGAATCCACACATGGATTCTCTGCACAGCTGAAGAGAATAAGATGGTTTCAAAACAAAAAATAGTTCCAGGGTAGTTTGCAGCAGTGCAAACTAGCAAATGTTAATAGGAAGAAATACACTGTAGCTTTATCATCAGTACAATGAATGCAATTTGCCCTAGGAGGTTTTGGTGCCAAAGTTCAGACAAGTCTCAAGTCATTTCACTTAGGGGGATTTATTTGCTTTTCAAATGATAATAGAAGAAATGATATATGGAACACTTGTCCTGAAATACATACATGAGCAGTTATAAGGAAACTCTTCTGAAGTTGATTAAATGTACAGTATGTGATGCTTTCCTCTAAACATTCTTGACAGGGTTTTCTAATTCTCTCTCTTTCTCTCCAGTCTGACTCTTGCTTCTGAAGGGGATAGAAACGTCAAGTCTTGTCAGCTGCTTTTTAAGCCAGTGTACAGCTTGAAGTGTTCCCTCCCTAAAATATCTGGTACAGATCAGTCACCTAAATGTCTACAGAGAGTAAGTAACATAGCTACATGTGTAGGCTATTGATCTAGATCACTTCTGTGGTTTCTTTTCTGGACTTAGCTTACAATACAGTGATATCTATGTTCATGATTACTGGAGGAATAAGAGGGTCATTTCCTGAGCAAAATATCTGAAATCAGGTTATCATCTATCTACAAAATGCTTCTGTCTCCAAGTCAGTTATTTGACTCCAACTGATGAAATTATTGCAAAGTGGCACAAGTCCAAAGGAAATATTTCGATATTTAAATTGTACTATCTTCCGCAGCTACCATATCTTTTTAGTGAGCTAGCAATACCTGTACTGGATGTACAGGCATATGTACAGACATATTGTCATTCCAGTATATAATCTACACTTATTCGGTACAGTATGGTTCCAAACCTCTCTCATTTGTCTGTCATGGTGTGTGAATAGATGTCGATCTACATCCAACCACCCTATGTTTTGCTGTCTTATATACACTTCGGCTCCTCAGGTTAAAGCACACATTCTTACCTGATTGTCTTATACAGTCAGGGGGAATTGAAAAGTGCTGTCAATCCCTTGTGATTCATTAAAGTGGGTGGGCATATAAACTGTTCTTTCTCTATTGCTTAACCAAAGCTACCTGGTGCAGGTACTTCTGAAGCCGCTCCGGTGAAGAACTCCGGCAGGTAACAGAGAGGTTTCTGCTTAGATTTCTCTCTCTCTCTCTCACACACACACACACACCCCCAGTGATCAGAGTCAGAAAGAAACTTACAGTCTGCGGCTTGTCCCTTCCACTGATCTCCCATAACAGGGGACAGAATAACTCAGCAGGAAGACTGCGAAACTCCAATGCTGGAACAGTTTCGTGAACATGGTATCCCCTCGGTCTTGGAACCTGCAACGAAAGGAAAATGAGTCCAGTGGTACATACTCCGGCTTCTTTCTAAAATAGCAGCTGCGGCGGACTACACAACCTCCTCCGAAGTTGCAAAAGAAAAACAAACTTTCTTGACTCTCGGCAGCTCTCACTTCTTAGAGATCAGCTGCTCCCAACTTTGTGAGCGCGCTCTCTCGCCCTCTCTCCAAAAATAATCACAGGCAATTCCTCTCTTAAATACTAATAAAAATGAACTGGTTTGTATATGGATCGGGCGAAGGAGTGTGTTTACATGTCTCCCATAGAGATATTTAATTAATCTGGCAAGCTGCTATCTTAGGGGTTTGTGTTACAGGGCAAACCCTCTTTTCAGCAAGGGGGGAAAAAGTTCCTCAGCTTATTCCCCCCACCCCTCCAACCAAGAGTATTTTCTTCTCTGTACAGATGGGGAGAGCGAGAGACAGACAGACTTGTATATACATCCAGCCATTATACCTCTTCTTCTAAAGCCAGGTTCAGGTCTTGCTGCTTCCGGGACGTTTGGGTCCACACTGAGGAAAGGAACCTGAACTCAGGCAAAGCGTGTGTCGACTATCCGGAAAGCCCGAGAGGTCTAATAGGAGCAGAAGCAGCAGGGAAGGCTTAGGGGCTGGAAAGCATGCTTGGCTGTGCAGGTTGGAGCAGAGCTGGGGCTTGGAATGTTCACACGCTCCGGAGGCAGCCGCTGGGAAACCTGCTGGAGGAGTCAGTGGCTGCAAAGAGATGGCGCCCTAGGAACATGTGCAGAGGGCGCCCAGCACTGGATACCAACAGCCAAAGAGAGAGAGAGAGAGAGAGAGAGAGAGAGAGAGAGATTTCACCCCTCCCCGGGATCGGGATCAAGAGAAGCAAACACCCGACCATAAAACGCACATGCCAACCCAGAGCAGTCACATCCCCCGAAAGCAGGGTTGGTTTCTCTCCCTTTCCCCCCACTGGGCCAGCAGCGTGTCTTCCCTCCCGCAGCACGCTGCAAAGGAGGTGACTCTCCCAGGGGGACACTTCCAGATCCAAACCAGCCGCCTCGCTTGAGATTAACGGTGCCTTGCCTTTCACATCACCTACCGTCCTTTACTGCCGTCCACCTATTCCCTGGAGGGCTGGTTCCTACCGATTGTAAGTGTACGCTAGCCCGGGGGCCACACACACTCTGTGGACACGGAAGCTGCTGGCCAGGAAAAAATAATACTCGCGGAGCGTTTCTCCCCCTCCTTTTTCAGCGAATGGCCCAACTTGGGTGTCGAAGGTAGCTGTGTCACTGTGCCTTGAAGTGAGAGGCTGAAAGCACCGCGGTGCGCCCTTCATTTGCGAGACACAGCTTGGGTTCGGAGCAGTAGTTCTTGCTTTCCTTGCTCCTCAGCACAGCTGTGAACAGCTGGCGCCCGTCCAGAACCCCTCGTACATACTTTCTAACCCGTTGCCAGCTGACGGGTTTATACCCTTGGTGGCCTAGCTGCTCTTTCTTACCGCCAGGGAGTTCCAAAAACTGGTTAGAAATAAGTCACCTGGGAGAACCGCCTCACACGCTCCCACTTCAATCAGACATCATCACCCGAGGTGAGTGAACAACAGAATTTTCCATCACACGGAAACACTTATGTAAAACCAAAGGTAACACAATCCATCCCTTTCTACAGCCCAGTTGCGCAAGAAACTGCCCCGGGCTATTATGAAGTAATCGATACTACAGTGACTATATATAGAAAACTCTGTTTTTCTTAATGTTGTAAATAAAATATTTTTTATCTGACACAGTTAGCTTCTGAGGATCTTTATAGCACCCCAGGATTGTCTCTCTCTCTCTGTCTTACTCCGCCTTTTAACATAGTGGGGGCGTTATGCTGTAGAAATAAACATTTGGGGTAAATGATCCGAATTTAAGTAGCACCCTGATAGAGTAATGTTCTCAGATCCCCAAACCGCCGCAGCATGAAACTTTGTATACAGCATCCAACGACCTCCCCCTGCCCCCACCTCCTCTGATGGCTGCGATTTTGCATCAGTTCTCAGGGTTTGTTTTTCAATGCTTCTTTAAACTTCTTCCTTGTTCAGTTTACCTTTTTACCAAAGCCCTCTGGTTTGGAGTTTAAGCATTTCCACAAACGCACAGAACGGGCAAGTTAAACCTGCTCGCATGGTACAAGAGATACCACCACCCCTTCCACTGGGAGTCGATCCACAGAAGTGTCATTGGGTCGGTTCACTGATTTATTGTACATTCTTTCCAAGCTGCTTCACAACTCTTCACGTAACACTTAGATATTTTTTAAAATATAAAAATATCTTTTCTATAGCAAGTTAAATTACAAATAGACCATTTTATACCTGAAGGTTGTTTTACATTAAAAACGATATTTGCTTCCATAATAAAACAGCTAAACTACTTAGCCAAGTTTCATAACACACGAGCAAATAAAACCGAAAATAAAAAGGGCTGAAATTGAAATCATGCTGGAAACATTAAATGGCTTATGCTGTAAATAAAGTCACTATACACTTGGTAGGCTATAAATTAAAATGTATAATAAAGGCTACTTTGATTTACATTGCTCTTTCCACTAATTAAACAATAATTGTGACCCACCCCCGCTCCCAAACACACATAAGTCTACTGCTGGTGTTAATGGCAAAACATCTATCACATATTTTTAGAATTTCCTCTCCCCCACAAATTATATATATAAAAAAAGTCCTCATACAGACTCAGGAAAAATAAATAGCCTTTATAAACTTGGAATTCTGAAGTTTCCTCACAATTTATTACTTCACCTTTTCCTTGAGTTACAGTCTTCTGTGCCTTTCAGAGATCACCCTGGCCAAAAAAGAGGTTGATCTTCTTAGCAATCGCTTCCACAACTAGTTTCTATCTTTTTTTTTTAAAGTGAAATAAATCAAAATGAAAATGACTTTAAAAAATCCAGCCCTAGGAACTTTTATTCTGCACCTAACATATTAAAGTAAAAAAGAAGGGTTTTAAAAGCAGGTGCTTCCTTCCCTTGTTGCTCTTGTTGTTATTATCAAGAACAGGAGCTTCTCCTCTTAATATATATAGAGAGAGACCCTTTTCCCGGTACTGAAAAGAATAACTCGTGACATCATAGCCTACCTTCCCATTTACTGAGTAATCATCCCTGCTTCAATGGGGCTGGAAATACATGACTTAGATCCTAGGGCTCCTAAAGTTTTGTTACTGCTCAAAGAAGGGAGAAGTGCCAAGAAGGCTTGGTCTTTAGCAAGGCATAGGCAGGCACGCACTATGCACCTTTTAGCACATAGCAGAACTAGGAGTCGATGGTATCTGGCATGGTTCTGGCTGAGTTATGTGCCACCTACACGAATGCCTAGCCCGTGAGCAAATTCTAACCTCCCCCAGTATCGTCCCATCCCAACTTTCAGCCCTGTCTTGCAGCAGCGCTGAGAGGAAATTTTGTGAGTGTATATGTCTGGCTTCTGCCTCCTTCCTCTCTTAAAGTTATGCTGAGCGTCTGTTCCTGCCTTCTGTGAGAAGTCATCTATTAAAAAGTCTATGATACTGAATGATTTTCGATCTCAGGAATGTTCTTTATCTCACTGGCATTTTGTGTTGAAATCCATCCCTTCCGAGAATGTGGCTTCGCAATATACTGTGGATGCACTTTTATGGCTTGCCTTAGGACAGCGGACCCAGGTTTATTCAGAACAATGACCACCCAGATCTAATGATATAGCATAGACGTAGGCAGGAATGAAAGAGGCTGTTATAAGCACCCCACTAAAGAAATGACCCCACCCGTGAAAATGACCAGAGGATAGCATCTGAGTAACCTTTGCCTGTGCTCCAGGAGGAAATGCCAGCGCAGGGGAGAGCACACCTTTACATTTCATTTGTTTGACTCTTACCAGGGAAAAGGTGAGCTGCAGGTCTAAGCAGCAATTCAGTTTTTTCAGGCAACGAGGAGAGATAACATGAGAATTTTAGGCAGAGCATTCAAGCCATCCTGAAAAAAAGCGTCTTTAGCTAACCAGCTAAAACCCCAGAGACAGTCAAAGCCTTTTTTGTGCACAAATCTTATCACATTTAATATATAGATATTTCTCCTTCCCATGTCAAAGACAAACGTTTGGAAAGGTGCTCTTGTATAATGCTGCTTGCCCATGTCTCGATTTTCCATGCACATAGACATAAATCAACTTTCCTAAGAAGAAGTTGCCCTGCGAGTATTGCGAAGAAAACTGGTATCCTGGAAGAAAATTAACTGTTGCAGTTTAGTCACTTAATTACTGAGGCGTGGAAAAGGTCCATAGCCTGGAAAAAGGTGGGTGAGGGAACCCACTTACTAGGGGACTGCCTCGTCTCTTCTTTTTCTTTTCTTTTCTTTTTAATGCATTTTGTGGGGATATAGAACCATCTCCCCAGCGTGGAGGGGGACAGTCGCTTTGAGTAAGTTTCCCCCCCTAATAAAGCTCAGGAATGAACTTTCAATCAGACTCAAAGAACTTAAGAAAACAGGAGGGACAGGTTCAGTTAATATGATTTGAGTTATAATTATACCCCTGGAGAAAGAAAGGAAAGAAAAAGCGCTGATACCGGTCTTTAAAGACGTGGTAAATTAGGAGCGTTACAAGCTTAACAGCCTTCACCTTTTGGGTTTGAAGTTCAGCCCATTGCCTCTCATTTTATTCGCAGCTTTGTCAATTTTCCCTGCCAGGAATCTATAACCTCAGTTGCACTCATACAGGGCTTCAGCTTGGATGAGGGGGTTAAATCTTCCTATTCTTTCCCGGGTGGAAAAATATGTGAAGATCAGCAATATCTATTCATGCGGACAGTTTGACAGGCTTTGGGGGGGGGGGGAATCGAGCGTTAGACCAAGGATTTGCTGGCTCCATTCCGCAAGAGAGAGAAATTCTCCAAGATTTACAAAAATATACACGTAATGTGTGTCAAAGTTTGTGGCTAAAGCTCTGTGGAATCAAAGTGTAAGGTCCTGGAGTGTTTTTAAAAATCGTGTTGTGACAGAATGGTATTTAGTGCAGCTTTCACACGCACCCACTAGCAAACATGACTGACTGCAGATTGTAAGTAGTGTTTCTTTAGACATACTCGCTTTTACAGGGAATACGTTCCTGTGTTGTTTACGAGGCAGAAAGTCTAATAGTGTGCTTAAAAACCCTGGCAGTTCCTCACAGGAATTGGCTCCTCCCACTCCCCGTGCTAATAGGGTCTCAGATTAGAGACACACCTTAGCCAGTGTCTAATTTCATATATTCCTCTCCTGAGGTAAAGAGATCACTTGGGGGGAGGAGGGAGGACAAAAAACAAAACCCTCCTCCCTATCAGCAGGACTCAGACGTTTCCTTGCATACTATTTGGGCACAACAACCGTATTATTAAACAATGAACAAACAGGACTGCCTCTCTCACTTTAAAATGCAGTGGAAGCTCCCACAGTTTAGCTATTGAAATAATGCATGGTTTATTTAGACAATGTGTATTTCATTTAGTGCATTCAAGCAAAAAAAAAAAAAAAGTTGTGTGGAAATGAATTATGCTTTGCCAAATCTGCTGTCTGGTTCTTAGAACGTAGCAGACACTGAAACGACTAATTTTTAAGTTTGAGGGCAAGGAGTCAGTTAGTATTAATTCATAAAGCCTGTTCTTACTATATATAGTTCCATGGCGAATGTAGTTGGCATTCTGTGTTGGTATAGCCTGTGGAATATGGCAAAACTCCAGAGGATAAAAAGCAAATCATATTGTGGCTCCGGTGGAGTTTGAGAATGCGTTGGACTGGCTGGTTAAAACCAGTGAGCTGTCCATGGTGGTTAAGGACTTCTTGATGTAAGTTTTCCTCTTGTCATAGCAAGTCACAGACCACCTCCCCATAGGTGCCTTTTCAGCTAATAACATCATCATGGTGCCTCCCCACTGGTTTTGGATACAAAAGGCATTGAAAAGTGTGCACACAGGCCTTTTTAAAGGTATGTCTATAGCCTGTATTAATAGCTCTGTAATCCCATCTTTTGTAGCAGTGATGGATTTGGAGGTCTAATATGTCCTGTGCCCCTGCTTTCTGGTTAATTGCCTACAATGTATGATGTAACAAAGAAATTCAGTTTAGGTCCCTATTCTAACCAGACTTAGCCCTGGTCTACACTAGGACTTTAGGTCGAATTTAGCAGCGTTAAATCGATTTAAACCTGCACCCATCCACACAATGAAGCCCTTTATTTCGACTTAAAGGGCTCTTAAAATCGATTTCCTTACTCCACCCCTGACAAGTGGATTGGCGCTTAAATCGACGTTGCCGGCTCGAATTTGGGGTACTGTGGACACAATTCGATGGTATTGGCCTCCGGGAGCTATCCCAGAGTGCTCCATTGTGACCGCTCTGGACAGCGCTCTCAACTCAGATGCACTGGCCAGGTAGACAGGAAAAGAACCGCGAACTTTTGAATCTCATTTCCTGTTTGGCCAGCGTGGCAAGCTGCAGGTGACCATGCAGAGCTCATCAGCACAGGTGACCATGATGGAGTCCCAGAATCGCAAAAGAGCTCCAGCATGGACTGAACGGGAGGTACGGGATCTGATCGCTGTTTGGGGAGAGGAATCCGTGCTATCAGAACTCCGTTCCAGTTTTCGAAATGCCAAAACCTTTCTGAAAATCTCCCAGGGCATGAAGGACAGAGGCCATAACAGGGACCCGAAGCAGTGCCGCGTGAAACTGAAGGAGCTGAGGCAAGCCTACCAGAAAACCAGA